AAAGTACTTCACCCTTCGGTTCCTGAATAAAAATATCTTGTTATAATTTATTTAAACAAACTTTATAGCAATAAGTCTTATTTTTTTTTAGAATTTTAATAAATAAACTAAGAACGAACATGAAATACGACAAGTATGATTTTGAATATAAGTACCTACTTTAAAGTTTTAACTAGTTGCTAGTCAAATATATTTTGTATGCATACCTTAGATGGCGCATAAAATAAGTCGTAAATCGTCCGTAGGCAAACGTAGCTTGTTATATTAATTAAACATTTTTTCCATATCAAGAAACAATTCAAAACACCATATATTTTTCATTATTACACTTACTTAAGTAGATTCTAAAGAATATGACACAACAGTCAAAATAGGTACTTATTTTCGATAAATTATTATTATAACATCATATTATATTTAAAATTAGTTGTATAATAATAATTAATTAAAATGATTCATAATATAAGTTCAGATATAATGCAAATTAACCATATTTTATGTAAAGATTTATTTAATGACAAATCAATACATATATTGTGTCAATATAATCTGTATTTAAGTCACGTAGTAACGCCAGACGCTCTTAAAAGATTGGCTATTGGTCAAACAAATGATGGTTATTGATAAGGAAGTTACAGTGACATAGTAATTGTTTATTGGTCTAGATATTATCTTTGATATAATATACTTTTTAAACTCACCCAATACTTTATTTGGTCCAATATATAAGTCCAAATAACTAATTTAAATATTAAATTGGACCTACTTCTTATTTCGTATATTATACCTCTATTTTTAGGAAAAAATTATATTTTTAATTACTGATATACCAAAAACTAATGATTAAGATCAGAATTATATATTTAGTATTATAAGCTGGCCACCCCGGTTAATAAAATTATTTTATATACGCTTACCGCGCTTAAATGTGTAGGTAATTTTCATGCAAAAGAGGATTAAATTTGTTGGAATATTTTTTAGAAGCTTTATATAGTCTATAATAAATTAATTTGTATTTAAATTTTTATATGGATTTGAATAGGACACAACAGGTCAGGAAAGATTTAGAAATTAAATCTAAAATAGGCTTTGTATACAGTACAGACAGTACAATTTTGCCGCGACTGATATTTTTATGTGCGAGATGTCCCCTGACTTCGCTTGGGCGCAACAACGCCTACGATTATTACGATTTTTTCAAACGGCAAAAACTTTGATAGTGCCGCCCCTTCGGTGTTTTGAGAAAAAAGGAAACTGCTAATAAGAGTTTTTGTGATAGCATTAATTAGTTAAAAAATCCTTTAATGAATTTGAACTTTTTATTATGTAATAACAAATTAGTAACTTATTTGTCACATAAAACTGAAACAGTAAAAATATATAAATATCGAAAGACTACAACTTATTAGCTCCTCGAAGTATATCGCATCGGCAGTTTTTCCGACAGCCAGGACGGCTAAGCCAGCTGACGATCCTAACTCTTTTTATAACTAAGTTTTATTATTTTCAGTTTGTTGAAGCTTCGCTCACAGATTGCAGGGATTAATGGTATAGTGCAATAAAGTCATGCTTGTACAGATGTCGTAACAGATAGAAAGCACTTACTTTTCACTAATTTCATGTTGCAGCTCCTTAAATACATTATTTGGCAAAAACCATATGCTTCAAGTGGTTTGATTATTTAATCGGCTTCATTTTAACGAAGAATATTAATTATTATCCCAAATTGTCAAATTGGTAAAAAATTATAAACCCATTATATCATGTAACAATTTATCAGCTTCGTATTTAGATTCTGCGGCTACAAGAATTCTTCAATTACTTCCATAGCTCGAACATATTCTAGTAAATTATTTAATAGAGCAACAGCTTGATGTTTACAACAGCTGGTTAGCCCTATATAAATCTGAGCCTTCCTGATTGGAATAGTAATTTCTTTATTACCAGACACAAGCAAACAGGTGAACAAAAAAATTTTGGTTTGATATCGTATGCCAAAACTGTTATACGGCTTTATTTATATTTATAGAGAAAGACATGTCGTATATTTTTTTTTCAACTGTTTAATTTTTCGAAGTATTGCTTTGAAAACATCAAATTACGAGTGCTCGTAGCACGTGTGATTTTTGACTATCCACTCTCAATACTAATACCTTTTTAAAATTATAAATGTAATAACTATAAATTAAACCCCCCAATTAATTAGAAACATGAAGAGAACCAGTCAAGACAAATTCAACGAGCCCAAATTCGACGGGCTTACTAAAAGGTAATCCAGGGTTACGTCTCTTACCTTCGAGCCCTAACAGCAGACCAGCTCAGTAGTAAGTAGTTCCTGAAGACATTAGTGATTCAAATGTCAGATCCCACATATGCTTGCAAGCAAACTGTGCGTGTAACATTTCTATCACACCTAACAAACGACCTGATGACCTGAACCGATTTCCACCGAACATAGCAAAGAACACTCTAGATGGATATATCTTTCAAACAAAAAAAAACACATTGAAGTCGGATCATCCGTTTGGGAGCTATGATGCCTCAGACAGATACATACACACGCAGACACGTCAAATTTATAACATCCCGTCTTTTTTGCGTTGGGGGGCTATCACAATTTGATTAAATAAAAGAAAAATGTAAAGTAGCTTTTTGTAATGACCGATGTTTCTTATATTGTTATTTCATAGATTCTGGTTTTACTTTTGAATATATTTTAGTGAATGAATGAATGGCTTGAAAAAATATTGTATTTTTATATTGAAGAATTATCAAAATATATAAAAAGTCGAGTATTGAACACCTTCCTTTTTCGAAGTAGAATCTTTACAAATATTAAAAAATTGTAGAATCATCTTTACCGTTCGATAATTGAATATTAGGATACCTACTAATTATTCCGTATCTCTAAATTTCTATAAACTAGATTACTTGCAGCTTGCTATGCCTTTTTGGTTAGGCAATACTCGCATATTGCCTAAACAATAAAAAAATGAAAATGAAAATGATGAATTAGTTCAAAATAAAAATGATTTCTAAATATTTATTTCGCATATTCAAAAATGAAACTCTCTAATAGTTAAAAAAAAATGCTAACATTTTGAGTATTGTATCTGTTTATCCATATATAATATTCTCTGTGGAATGAAACGAAAATATAAGACACAAGAATTATAGCACTCTTACTCATCAATTAAACCTAGATATAATATCTAATTACGTTAATTTATTTTGTAAATTGTAGGTACAAGTGCAGAGCATTGCATACGAGATACGAGCTGCAATCCACTGTCTACATTTAAACTGTCATTACTTTGAGTGAAAAATTGCTTAGCCACAAATACATACTGACTACATACTTGATTTGGAGTCTCGAAAAATAATTCTGTTATAAGTTCTCTTGCAATATTGCTTTTATTTTACTTAAGGGTCTAAGATGTCTATATTTTAATTTACACAACTTCTGTACAGCCATGAAAATTTTATAAGTAATTTATTTGATTGCAATTTCTATTTTTACTTATACATAGATTTTTGATTTAAGTTTTTGATATCTTTATTATTAAATGGAGGAGATTTGGTGAAATTAAAGCATTTATTGAACTGTCACTGATTATATATACATGTAGAATATATAAATATGGATAGACTTAATATGGGAAGGCCAAATTTAATAATTAGTTTAACAGAAATTGATGAATTAGTTTAACAGACAAAGAAATTGTCATTTGTTACTTGTTATAGTAACAATAATCTCTAAACATTTAAATAGTAAAAGCTTTCTGTGCATACTTTTCTTTACTTCTTAACTGTCGATTTTAATTGTTATCAGAAATTTTATGTTCATATTAAAAATGTGAGGAATATTAGAGAAATATGTTTTATTGAGGAAAAATATGGAAAATACATATAGAAAATACTGACTGTTATGTTTTTTATTTCATTATTATTATTAATTTACAACTTTTGCAAGATTTTAAATATAAATTCAAAATTTTCTCTTCATTTCAACTGTGACATGTTTAAAAAATATAACACCATTTTATTATTTTTATTTAATAAAAAATCTTACAAACTATCGCAGTCTCATATTTTAATAATAAAATTATTAAATTGAAACTTATGTTCAAATTACAATCCAAACATTGATATGACATTATACATCAGTGAAGAAACACATTTATCCTAATTCTGAGTACATTGTAAAACTAATCTTCTATATATATAAAAATGGATTGCTGTTCCTTAGTCTCGCTAAAACTCGAGAACAGCTGAACGGATTTATCTTATCTTAGTCTTGAAATGTTTGTGGAGGTTCAGGGAAGGTATAAAAGGTGAGAAAAATTGATTCATTTCCGGGAAAACCCTAAAAACTGCCCTTTTCTATTTCCCATACAAATGTTTTCTTTGACATTAGATTTGACAACTAACTAATATGTCAATCATTCTGTTCGATTGAAACAGGAAAAACCTGATTATTTATGGCCTCTAGGACGGAATAGAGTTCGCCCGGTCAGCTATACATATATTACTAAAGATGAAATTAACGCGGACGAAGTCGCGGGCAAAAACTAGTAACCAATAGTTTTCAGTAATACTATCATATATAAGTTATGAATGAAAAACTGTAAGCTATGTGTTTAGTGAGATAATGTACCCATACTAAGGATAATGAGTTCTTATTTAAAGCATTCTCTTTATAAGACTATACAAATATTATCACAACTCAACCAATTTTAACCCGGAGATTTGTTTAGTTGAGCAGTCATATTTAAATCTATCAATATAATTATTAACAATTTATTAGTTCTTTTAATCTTGAAGCAGTCAAATATATTATGGTCTTTAAGTCATATGTAACTCCAGATACAGAAAATAACTATGGAATTAGAAATTACTAAAATAATAATTGATAATCATAATAAGATAAACAAATACGGCAAGGAAAAACTTTGATAGAAAATATAATTATCATAATATTTATATACTTTGAATAGAGTTTAGAGGCTACAGTCAGCGTCTTGTAACTGTTTTTCAAGCAACCTCTTCATTTTTTCAGGAACTGGGACTCCAGAGTGAGCTGGTTTTGGTCGTTTTTTCCATGCAGATTTCTTAGCACTCTTTGAGGTCGTACTTGGCATGGGAGCAGCTCTATTTTCCTTTGGCTTTGGTGTTGATACTTTAGGAACTGTGCTTGTCCTAGCTCTTGGTTCAGCTAAATTATTTGCTGAAATATTAAACAATAAAAGCGATAACACATTTAGAATTCAACATACATATGTACGTAACATATAGTTAGATTCTATTTGTTATGTTTCTTAGTACCTTTAAGCATTTTTTCTGTACAACTTTTAGAAGTCATTGTTTTCTTCAAAGTTGCAATAGGCGACGCTTTAGATTTCGTTGCTTTACTTATCACACGTTGTACTTTATGTGCCGCTTTCGGCGTTTCTCGGGGAGCCATTCCAAAAAATCAAATATGACACAATCGAATAAAGAAATCGGGTAGAAAAATTGTTTAAAATTAAAAGATAACCCGATAACCAACGACAAAATATTTTCAAATTATTAACGATTTCAATTTGACATATAATATGTCAAATAGCGTCCACTACTCCTTAAAACTATTTTAATGGTCAGTGCTTTGAAATTAAACTTTATTGAAATTAATTTCTTTTAGTGAATCAATTACTCTGAATAATTATATTATTATATCTTATCTTTTTATAATCCATTTCAAATTTATATTTTTTTAGAGGTGATTTTACATTTGGAAGAATTTAGAATAAAATAGTCATTCTAAATTTATTTAACTTTAAATATAAAAAATAAAAAGAAAAGAAAAGAAAAGAATTATTGTTGCAAAATATAATTAGTTTTATAAATATATTATACCAATATATTTATTACACAATACATTTATTACACCACGACTTAATATATTATAACAATATACTAAGTCGTGGTGGCCTAATGGTTAAAGGGCCCGCCTCTCATGCATGAGGGCGCGGGTTCGATCCGGACAAGTACCAATGTGATTTTTCCGAGTCATATGTACTTTTCTAAGACTATTTAGACATCACCGATTAATGCATTCGCAAAGAGGGTTGATGTCATTCAGGCGGCCGGTCGTAAAAACAATTATCCAAATCTATTCACAACATGTAAGGCAGACCCTGGCTAAAAGCTGGGATATTGCCAGGTAGAAGAAGATAATAACAATATATTATTAGTTTACATAAACATTTTTTAACAATTTAATATGTGAATATATAAACATAATTTTTTTTGATATTATATGAAACAAAAGGAAACGTATTATAAGAGTAGCTTTCATTTCTCTATATAACTAAATCATTACTAAATATATAACATTGAAAAATAATTTAATGTCTTTGATACATAAAAAATCTATAATTTTTTGATAATTGCAAATCATTAAAATTTTTATGCTTCTTTTAATATTCGCTTCTTTAAATGGCAACATTGTTATCTATTTTTCGCGACGTCCATCTTTAATATTTGATGTGTTGTGTTGTTAGGAAAATTAATGCAAAAATATTATTGTAACGCCTTACTCGCGGGATATTGATATACATTTCAATTAATATTCAAATTTAAACCTATGTTCTCATATAAAATATAAAGTTCAAGTAGATATCTTGATGTTTATTAAAAGTGTCACAGTTTCAATATCGTTTGTTCCACTAAAAAGTTTCACTTGTAATTTGCTGCTATTGACCTAAGTGCTAATTGGCCAACCTTCAAATGTTTTCCTTACCTTTCCTTTAAGTGATACATTTTTATAAATAGTGCCCCCATAACCCATGAAATTAGTATTTGTTGACAAAACAGATGAATCGTGCAAATGGATAGATTGAACAAGATAAGAGGCGAGGCGGGAAGCTCGCAAGATTTAACATTGGACACATCTTCCCCACTCAGTGAAGCGTTCTTGTCGGCGAATGAGAGCTCATCCAAATATTTTTCTCTCTCCGAGGTAGATTCGACGTTCGGTATTTCTCCAGCCAAAGATTCGACATCCACCGAGGTAGAGCGCACTTTAACCGTTGATGCCAATTTGTTGTCACCTATTCCGAAGAGAGAATTGGACAGCTACAAGATCGGGAAACAGATAGAGGCGGCAAATATATTATCCGGTGGAGTTAATATTTTCGACGATAATGATAATTCTTATGATGGTGATGAGCTTGTCATAGACGATAATGTGATTGAGGAAGAGAAATCTCCTAGTGAGTTAAAGCTTGATGAAAATGCTGTTCTTGATAAAGCTGAGGTCTTAGAGAGTATAGATGATGAGGTTATACCGAGTAAGGATACTGAAGTGGTGCTACAGATAGATGGGAACAATGTACATGCTATAGATATTGGGAATGGATTATATTTGTATAGGAAAGCGGGCGAGGAAGATCTGGCTGCTGTTCAGATGATCGACGATGATCAACAACAGCCTAGCTTTAAGTTTTTAAAAGTGCGGTAAGTTTACACATTTTTTATCAAGTAATTTCTTGTCACGTCATTGTCAGTCGTAATTCTTGTTTGACAATACTTTTTTTTTGTTCTGTTTTTTACTATTTTTATTATACTACTATCTAGTTTTTCATCGTATTGTAAATTGTACATTCATATATAAAATTTTAATAACTTGAATTATAATTATTTTGCTTTTTGAGTCAGGAGTATTATTATGTATATGTCGAGATTTACACCTGCATAACTCATTTAAATATCCATTCAAACTGATATGGCAATGCTAATTAATCGAGTATCATATTACATAAAAATATGTAATATGGAACTACTTTTAGTAAAAACAGGTTTGGATTTTACTAAATACTATGTTTTTTTTATTAATAATTTGTTATATATTATTACAGTGAAAATGCAGAAGGAAATTTAGAAGTGTATGAAGAAATTGAAGTAGAAGTAACTAAAGAAGTGGTATATATTATTAATTTATTCCATAATTTCAATTTAGATAGTAAATAAGCAATTTATTAATGAATAATTTGAAAAAATTTCAGCCTATAAAAGAAGGGGAGATTCCTTGTGAGAAATCTTCTCATGTGCCTATAAAGGATATAAGTAAAGTTATAAATGAACCATCAAGTAGTAAAACTGTTGATAATGCAATTAAAACACCAAAGAAAGAATTAAGTTTTACTAATGATGTTGCCGTTGAAACTAACTTGGATGCTTCGGATCCTAAAGTAGAAGTGAACTTCAATGGCAAAATGAAGTTTAATGAATCTCGTAAATCACCGGTAATAGGCACCTACACACCTATGACATATCACTCTACACCCAATAAAGAGGGAATACCATTGACCAAAACTATGGTAGATCAGCAATTACACCCAAGTCGACATACAGACAATGTTAAAAAAACAATCGAAGTACACACAGAAAGTCCAAAACAGAAATTGTTTGAAACAAATCAAACAAAAACTAAAAAATCCATCAATGAAATCGTCTCCCCTGGTGAGGATATAAAAGAATCTGATTCATTAAATAAAAAATTACAGAATAAAATTGAAGATCCCACAAATATACAATCATCTCAAACTGAACAATCAGATTTGACTGAGAAATTGACTGAAAATGATCTTCAATTATCAAATAATATAAATGAAATAAGTGTCACTGAACCTAGTTTAGATGAAATTGAAAAAGAAAGTGTTCTTAATTCTGAGGTTGCTATCATGAAACCTCATAATGATAGTGCTATATTATCCAAAGTTGTTCCTGATATTGAATTGGTATCGGATAATATTAAAATAATGGAACAATGCGAAACTGAAGAAAATTCTATGGATGACATGTTAGAAAGTGATAAAGATGATAAGCAGATAGGCAATATTGATGAAGGCCTCCAAACACAGGTTAATAAAGTCCCAGAGGAAACAGAATCACCAAAGACGCCTTGTGATGATGAAGATGAAAGTCGCTTAACAATTGATGATACAAAAATCATCACTACAAGTGAACCAATAGAAGAAGTTCATGAAAACTTAACTATTGATGAAGATTCAAACAAGGACAATGTAGAAATTTCAACCAATAACATTGTCCCTATCGAAGTACTTGCACAAGAAAACAATACAGAAGAAATAGTTACAGCATCTACTGAAGAGCTCAATGATGGAAAGAAAATTGTAATTGATGAATCTAATAATCAGAACATTGATAATAAGGATATAATCAAAGAAAGTAATGATACTAATTTGGTTTTAAATAAAGGAAATGAAACTGTTGAAGACATTGATGTAAACCAAGGATTGATACTTACTAAAAAGTCTGAAGAAGTAATCTCAGATAATGTTCACGACATAATAGAAAAATCGGAAGAAATTATTAGTGATGCTAATAACAAAAAAGATTTACACAGTAACAACACAGAAAATGTTAAGAAACTACCTGAAATTTCAGAAAAATGTAAAGTTCAAGAGAAACAAGTTGACAATGATTCGGAAAATAATTCAATAATAGAACCGAATTCTATAAATAAATGTCAAAATGAAGTCATTGAAAATACCAACAAAAATAAAACTGAAGAAATGAAAATTGGTGCACATAGTCAAGAAGATAATTGTAAGAATGATATATCTGTTCCGAATACTGTAACTAGCAAAGATATTGAAGTTAATTCTATCGCGACGGAAAAAAGTAAAATTGTTCCCGAGCCAAAAACTGTTTCATTAGACATAGCTAAAAGTGAAAATCCAGTCAACAATACAATTAATAATGTTGGAAATGATCAGAAAGCAACGGATATTGAAAAAGTTCCCGGAGACATTAAGCAAGGATTGAATGATGCAAATAAGAAACTGCTTGAAAAACAGGATAGCTTGAAACCCTGTGTCGAACAAGTTGAAACAAAATCTAAACCAGTAGTAGCGAAAGCAATAAACAATAATAGTGCAGTCCCATTTGGAAAATGGACTGAGGCGAATAGGCAAGAATTTTTGAATAAAATCAAAGAAACAAAAATCCCAACAAATAATTCAAACACAAAACAATTAAAACAACCAAATGATTTGAATAGAAGGGATGTTTTAAAGAAAATTGATAGCCAGAGACAGTCTAATATTATTTCACTCAACAAAGGTCTTGATACAAGCTCGCAGCCGAAATTAAATACAAAAGTCGATTCCGCTGTATTTGTGAGTAAAAGTGTTATGGTTCAACAGTCTTCATCTGTTGATACAACAGTAAAAGCTCCCAATATCCAGAATTCTAAAGTGAAACCTCCAATAAGCATAAAACCCAAGCAAGATGACACTAAGAACTCACTTCCTACAACCACTAAAAACGTGCAAAGAAAGGAAATAAACAATCAAGATTTGATAGATAAAACTATCGAAGATATTATTAATAGATCAATTACCGGTAAAGTATCTGAAAATACTCATGAAAAGCCAACTGTCTTGGAAACACAGAATACAAAAACATGTCCGGTTTCCTTGGATGAAATCGAAATGAAGATGAATGATATACATGGTGTTACAGGATCAGAAGCAACAATATATCAACAAACCTATTCTAATAAGCCGCTTGTAAAATCGGACACAGTTAAAGCTAAAAAAGGTGAAAAAGTGCCTCACCTGTTGCCCTTCAAAAATAAGGTCCATTCTAAAAATGTGAAAGATAATGCACGAGATGATACGTCTGACGACGAAATAATAGAACACGAGCCAATAACTGGAGATCTTGAAAGTAATAAAAAGAGTTTTACACTTTTGCCCGTAAAAAATAAGTCACCGGAGTCTAAAAAGGAAACTATAATAACGGAGAAAGATTTTGACAAATTTGCAAGACGAAATTCCATAACCTACGAGAACTGTTTGACAGTAAGCTTCGACGGCAAGGAATCACATAATGTCATTCAAACAGTAGTTGAAAAAGATCCACCGGTTAAAAAATTATCAAGAAACGAATTAATGCTGGCTGAATCTAAAGCTAAATCGACAAACAAACATCTCAATATGCCGATGCGGTCTAATACCCAAAATAGTAGAATACCTACTTTAGTGAAGGCTGGTAACGATGACGACGCCTACAATAAAAATAGCCACTCTAAAGTACAAATAGCATATCAAACAGCATTAACAGCTAAACGTAATTTGGAATGTCCCATTACAATTATCGAAGATAAGCCTGTTAAAGTGGTTTTCATGGATTCGAATTCTGAATTCACTCCGTCACAGCTGAACGTTCAAGGACAAGAATTGTCACCACCCAAAGCAGATTCAGAAATATCAATTCACAGCACTTCAGAATCTTTGGATTCAGACGTGCTTGACTCCTGTAAAAATCAAGAAGAAATAAAAATTAAGAGTAAACATCAAAGAAAACAGGTGTTGACACCGGTAGAGGAACCTGAGATTGAACTGATTGAACCTGTAGATTTAGGTATTCGAGTTTCTCAAAAGAAAAAACGGAGATGTGAAGAAAAACTCGAGAAGCATTCTAAAAATGTTGTGCCAAAGAAGTCTTATTTACTCAATCGTAACGTCAACGATGAGAAGCTTTCAAATAAAACACACGACTTTACGAAAAAATGTGATAAAGTCGAAAAGGAGACAGAAAAAAGAAGTGATCAATTCATAGGACATACAGATACGATTTCAGCAATCGATAATTTGGTTAAAGCCGCGGAGCTGATTGAGACTCAGTCGGAAAATAAAACTAACGATATTGTACAAACTCCTGAGCAACCAACAAACACACCAGTAAAGAGAGGACGAGGTCGTCCAAGAAAATACCCATTGGTAGAATCAGGAACTGACACGAATAAAACACCAACTCCACAAAAGAAACCGAGATTAATCGATGCTAAAGTTACTAAAAAGGATAGTACGGACTCAGATGACAGTAGCGATGATGTTATTATAAAGGAAAATTGGACGATGGGCAAAATAAACGAGAATATCGTGTGTCCAATTTGTAACAAGCTGTTTAGATCAGAGAATGTCGTGTTTAAACACGTGAAACACTGTCCTGGACCATCACCTAATAGATCTGATTCAGATAAAAGAAGCCCAGTCAGGCTGAGACGTTCACAAGATTCTGATAGAGATTCAAGTATATCAAACTTTAGCGACAGTGACGAGGAAATCAAACCTCGCAGTCGCAGAGCAAGATACACCTCCTCTAAATTGAATAATGACAATGATGTTATCGTCATTGAAGATACGCCGATAAAAGAAAAACCGGAACACGAAGACAAAGAAATAAATCAAGTGTCTAAAAAGTCTAACATTAAAATGAAACCGCAGCTGTGTAGGACTCATAATCTTATTTGTGAATTTTGTGGGAAGACATTCAGGCAACTGTCTTACTTAGTTAACCATAAAATGCAACAACACAAAAAAGACAACGGTAAAAGCTCAGATACTGAGCCTGCCAATAAAACCGTCTTCAGTTGCGAAGTTTGTAAAAAAGATTTCAGGAAATTGCATCATTTAGTGCAGCACAGACTGATACATAACAGTAACGCTAATAATGTTAGAATAACAAGAAAAAGTTCATCTGAACAGCATGAGGTCAAACCTTTGAAACATCGAGATGACAAGAAGTCTAGTAATGATGCGAGCGCAGGTTTCAGATGTGAACCATGTGATAAATCCTTTAGGAAATTGCATCACCTCGTAGAACACAGAGAAACCCATGACGGTATAAACAAGAAATCTTCGGCTACATCAACATCAAGTGGCTCTAATGTTAATGAATCAGTTAATCTCACTGCGACATACAACTGTGACACTTGTAAAAAAGTATTCAAAAAATTGCAAGATTTACTAGAACACAAAGAATTGCATTTCGAGACGAGTTCCGAAAAATCTGATGACAAAAGCGTCAAAAGTTCTCTTTCCACTAAAGATATTATTCATGAATGTTCACTATGTTATATGGTTTTCCCCAACGAACATTCACTAAACAAACATACTGTTATATGTTTGAGGAAGAAAAAACAAAGTGCAGCTAAAGCTGCAAAGCAAGCTTTGGAAAAAGGGACGGCGGAAGTGGACAATATTGTGATTAGTGAAAACGAAGAAGATGAATCTCCCAAAAATACACAGGAAATTAATGACACTCAAATATCTAAAACTGAGGTCGAAGAAACAGTTAAACCTGACGAAGAAATTAAAATAACAGACGCTGTTAAAGTGCTACCTGAAAATAAAATGGAAGGACATATTATAAAAAGAAAACTTTCCTCACATGATGATGTTCCGGATGTACAGTCTAAAACAGAAAACAACATAGTTGTTGTTAAACAAGAAGAAGCACTAATCAAACCTGTTGAAGATTCCGTAAAACCACCGAAAGTAAAGAAAATAGAAATTGAAGAGTGTATCGTTATTCCGGATACACCTACCCCGAAAAAGAAGATTTTGGTGAAAGATAAAGAAAAGATACTTCCTACGATTAAAAAGAATAAAACAGTCTCCTATCCCACATTACCAGTTGCCAAAGAAACGAAAGCTGCCGAATCTAGTGACGATGAAGATATACGATACATGCTCAATCCGAACTTTAAAGCCGAGGAAACTGCCGAAGGGAAAGTATTCATGAAAGTTAGAGCCAAGAAAAGGAATTCGTTACAAATCGAGAGGCCGAATTCGAAAGATTTAGTTAAAAGGAGAATATCATTGCAACATCCACCTAAAATACCACGACTGAAAGCGAAAGCTGTAGAAGCTAAACCTATTGTCGAATCCAAAAGTGAAAAAACTGTTAAATTGTCTGTCAAAGAAACTATATCATCTACGGATTCTGACGACAGCGATGTCAAATATTCTTTCCCCGATCCAGACACAACAGAAGCTAACAAAGATAAAAAGAAAAGGCAATCTGTAACTACAAAGAGGAAGTCAGTTAGCGCTATCGCCAAAAGAAAGTCGCTTGGCAAACATAAATTGGCTACTCCCAAAACAAGAAAACGTAAGTAGAATCAAATATAAAATGTATAATAATGTTTTTTACATATGTTTATGGTCTAATCAACTTTCAGGCACATCTGAAGTCGAGCATCGATGTGATTGTGGTCAGTTGTTCAGTAGCGCGGCCTTACTATCGCGACACACGACCCTCGCACACACGCCGCCTCGAATACGTAGAAGACGATCACCGCCTCCCGAAAATACCAAAAAGACCCCAAAAACCAAACCCAAACAGGCGAAAAGGAAGAGTGACGTCACCAACCCCAATACAAAAAGTGTCGGCACAAGGAAATCTAGTGTTAATAATAGTGATGCAAAAGTTACTAGTGACGCTACCAAGAAATACGAGTTCAGTGGAAAATCGCTTAGAAGCTCAGCTATCAGAGTGCCTGTATATGATAAGATGAAAAAAGTTATCGATAAAACGAAAAAGTAAGTCTTAATATGTAAGTACATTTCGGTTAACGTTTTCGATGTAATATTACGAGAGGGTCGCTAGTATGTAGATGAAATCAAACATCACAAGCACTCACAAACGATGTAACAGACGGACCACTGTTTAATATAATATATTTTTCCTATTTCGGCAATTTTAATACATGAAATGACATATTTTTCGTGATTCGGTGGTTTTGGTCCCGTCTATATGTATATGTAAATTTGCAAAACGTTAAAAAAAATATATGATATAGGTATATATTTTGTCAATTTGTTCTAGATTTAGATATAATGTAAAAGAGTAATTATTTATATATGTATTAGTTTTAAGTATAATTTTTGTTTTTTGTTACTTTTTTAAAGTACCATTAACAGTTGAACTGTTAATGTCTGTGCTGAAAATTGCAACAAGACATATATATATGTGAAAATAACATTACATTAATATCATTTAACATCAAAATGTAGAATTAATTATGCATATGTCCTACCATTACTTATAATTGTTAAATATATCTCAACTGAACTAATTTCTTAACTTTCTTATTTCAATAACGATCTGAAGGAAAAATGTAAGCAATATATACTGCTAACTTTACACATACGCTAAACAAAATATGATATTTTCTATTTACTATACTATAACATCTATGTGTTTGAAAAATGTTTTAAGAACAAAACAAAATCTGTCTTGTCTTTCAATGTTCTATCAGAAGCAATGTTTCTTAACATACAAGCTTCATTACTAACTTTCTATGAAACAATAAATTTAAATATTACTAACACTTAACAAACTCTCAATCTATGGAACAACATATTAATGGTACTATATTTTCTATGAATATCTCCATACCAAATGTCCAAGATAAATGTAATATAATTTGCTTAAATATAAAGCGGATATATAAAGATTTTTTACATTTTAAATAAAAATACCCTTACAGTGTTTATTATATCCAAAATCTTTATCATTATATATTTGTATATGTACGTTATATGTACAAAAAGAACATGTAAAAGTATATGAGATTCAATTGGCATGTCTATAACTGATAAAATTAAGATGGAAACAACTTTATATAATTGTCAGGGTATTTATTAGCACATAACATAGACATATCCAAAGTTTGTGTTTTTTTTTCTTATTGTTAAAGAAAAAAAAAGAAATGTGATGAATTATAATGATAAATTGAGGATATATGAGCTTATAGAAAATGTTTGTTAATTCTTGGAGAATTGTAAATTTCGATATAGCTAATATGAAGAGCTTCCCAATGAATGATTCCCCTATCGCTTTGTAGATGTTCCATTGTAATAGTAGTTTTTTGGAAAATAAATATAATATTGTATGATATGATAACGGTTATAAAGAAAACTGTTATTTTAGATTTATATAACGAAAAATTTAAATAATGTTATTTTGGGAAAATGTCAATGGAAACAGTTTTTTGGATAAATATGTAGTATGAAGATCCTTAAATGTTTATATCTAATAGTCTTACATATTCCATAATTTTGTAGAAAAATAGGACCAAATTTTTATGAGAATGTGTTTTAACGGTAATAATATATTCTGTTTTTAATTTTAATTGTAAATGTTTATTCTGCTCTTGTGACTAACATTGAACATGTTATATATATTGTATAGAGTAGATTGTCTTGCAAACATGTAAGAGCATTTAATATACATTTTATATATATTATGTAGATTATTTTTATTATCTGCGACTTTCATTAATGGGTTATAATAAATTGTCATAAATATGTGCTGTTTACTTTAAAGTTATATAGTTGAAGGTTTTTTTTTTATTGAATATTCTGTGTTTTGTATGTTGTAAGAGATTTAATTTGTAGTAATTTTTGACAATAAATAATTACATACTGACATAAAAATGTGTTCAATTATAAAGCACCTTTAATTAATTACATATTTTTTGAAGATAACTCAAGTACATTTTATATATTATCATGAATAATTAACGCCTAACGGCCTAGCAGATAATGGTATTATAACAAAAAGGACCATTAACATTGAAATCAAGTGACTTATTTGATCTTGAGTAGGTACACAATTATAACTCACTAATTATTAATTAAAATTTTAATGGGTTTTAAATAAAATAATTTGGATATATTTTAAGGCAAAAAATGCAATCTTTTTTTTGCAATGTACATTTATGTCACAATTGTACATTTTTACAATAAGAATACAAAAATAATTATATTGTATTTGTTAACTAATGCTTAATAAATAAATTGAAAGTGACTTTTTGTAAAAACTATGTTTTTCCAGGTAATTATTTGGATTCATAATACATAGACTCAAAATTGTCTTTATCACTTATTGCAGAAATATCTAGTTTATCAATTATAATAATGAATATAGCATCTAGTCGCTTGAAATTATCTAACTTAATACTCATATTACATATAGACAGCAATTAATACCATAATATAATGTATTTCATATAAGATTTCAATTAATAAAGAATTTATTGGAATTAACGGACTTGGTCCTGGAAACATTTTGAAATTATTGTATAGGTACGTGAATCAATTTTGATGCTCGACGGTCAGTGGGGAATTAAAAATTATGTACCTATAAATTTTATTGCAAGTTGCTAGTAGTAGAAATCCTTTGGTGACCTGAAGTATATTTAAGAGGTTCGTTCGTAAGTAGTTTTACTCTTAGTACTTACCTATTACGCTCAAAATGAGCGGGTTTAAATATAAGGAGCTTGTCGTAAGCCTTACTCTTACTATAAGATTAATCAAGCACTATTGATAGGATTTGTTTCCACATAGAGCACATTATAGTTTGTGTCGATATTGGATACTTATAATTAACAAAACTTCCTACTAAAATACATAATAGTCTTTTCAAAACTTAACAGCCTTAATTTCTGAATTAATTCTAATGGTGACATAGAAAATAAAAGTATTTTTCAGTTTAAAGTTGGTTTTATTAATATATACATCATAATTATAGATTTATTACACAATACATTAGCCTCTTTCACAGATTATATCTACAATGCTCGGTTCCATTAATTGCGGATCCACGCATCTTATTTGAGCTGAAGACAGAGCATCTTCTAGAAGGGCGTTTAATAACCTTTCGTCATTACCCATACAGGAGAGCCGCTGTTGTAGAAAATGTACATCTACTTGCAATTGTTGCAAGCCATGTCTACTAAATGTGCGTAACCTGACACATTCCACTAGTGCCTTTAAGGCTACTTTCAATGCGCCATTCGACAACGCCGCTCTGTCTGCACCGGCTGGGCTAAAAACTTCGATTCTTTCAGAGAAAATCCTGCTTATGGGAGAGAAAGATGATGACGGCCGTGACCAAATCGTACGACGACTTGAATCGCTAGACGGCTTCATGCTAGTAGGGAATAGTTGTGAAGCGGCGGTATCGGCACTAGCTAATGTTTCAACCACTCTGCGACACACAGCCCTTGGCCCTCGCGGTTCTGGAGCTCTTAGCCAATCTCTGGCAAGAACAGATACTCGTAACATTTGAGCCGCCGTTTGTCCTATGAATACCACCTCAGAATCTAAAGCCACTTGAGCCGCTGTTGACAAACTAACCATAATGTTAGACGTATCATTGTTACCCACAGTGAGACCTGGTGAAGATTCTTCTAAGAGTTTAAGTAAATGGTTATGTAAAGTCGAAACACCATTCTCTTGCATTTCCAAACATAGTTTTGCTAGCACTAAAAGTAATTCAAATGGAATGTTATTTGAAGCTTGCAAGGAAGCCATGCTTTTAACCATATCTGAAATGTTTATTAATGTTTCTGAAATCACTGTCCAACAGGCATCGGCTACAGCTTTCCCACACCATGGTTTGAGGCCAAAAGAAAGATTCTTTTGTAGAAAAGCCATTAGATCCAATAACGATGCTTGTATTTTTTGCATTAAGTGGACCTGCAGAGAGCTTAAAATATCTTTCAAGTCTGCACTCTCTGTACCTTTACTAGCAAGAGATTGTCTAACTTTCATAAGATTTTCTTTAAACTGTGTTTGTATAATCTGATACTGCATAGACGCCTTGTGATTTATACATTGAACTACAACATCTACGGCCTTTTGAGAAACTGAATCACTTGAAATTATTTCAGACATTGCTTGAAGTTTTCTGAAAAATTTATCTAATCCCCTTATCAATATATCTGTACCTGTGTTTTCAGGTTTCTTAATGACTTCTTCAAATAGTTGAAAGACTTGTGTCATTACCTTATCAGCAAATTCGGGTAAAATTTCTTTATTCTGGAATGTGTCATGATAACATGTTATAACAATGCCTATATCTGCTAGTAAAGAATTATTACACTTCTCAACCCATTCCAATATATCAACATTGTCGACTATAGATGAAAGGGATTTCAGATGTTGTTGAAGCCGACTCTCTGCACAGGTTAAAAAGATGTCCTGTAAAGATGAATCACTTTCTTGTAACTGTCGTAATAGTCCCACACTTTCAGCTAATTCTGATGCAGTTGTATCGGGTGTCAGCAATCTTTCTCTTAAAGTTTTTTTCAGATCACTTATAATCTCGGAACATTCAGTTTGTATGCTCTGGAAGGATGGTTGACTGCCATACTTCTGTAATACTCTTTGAGCATGTGTGTAGTCATTAACGGCATCCATATATCGATTTTCTTCAATGGCTTTATTAAGTTGAGTTGGCAATAAGAACACAAATTGCAATTTATCTAGTAATTGCCTTGTATTACAAAGTCTATTAACAGTAGTTCCGCTGTCCTTCAAGTTTTCAGATATAGTTGAACTGAATGTTGTTATCTTATTGATATTTTCACTTAATTTATTCATTTCTTCTTGCATTATCTGGAAGTCTGAACGCATTTTCCGAACTGTTTCTGTTGCTGATATAAATTTATTATAATTTTCGTACACCAAAGTTTGCATTTCAGATTGCAAGTACTGACTCTGTGTTACAACCTCAGCTTCTTTATCCATAACTTGACGAAGAGTCGCACATTTCAATAGACATTCTATATACATTTCTGAGTTGAAGTTATTTCCATCTATGTTAAGAGGATTTTCGCTATCTTTTTGAGATTCTCCCATTATTTAGGCCAAAGCCACAGGTTCTTGAGAGACTTTTAAAACGTGCAGTTTTATCCCGTTTATTATACTGATTCAATTAATATATACCTAATAGTCTTTTAGTACATTTGTTGACATGTAAAGTATCCATCAACATTAAAATTTGGAAATGTTATCTTGTCAACTGTCAAAGTCATTATGAGGTATCAACTATCAAGTGTATTTTAAGTGCTAAAAGTTTTAAGACAATCTAAAGCATAGATTTATTGTTCTATGATAAGTAAATTTACAATTTATCACAAATTTATAAAACTGTGAACTATACATAGCTATGTCATTTTATAAGTATGTATGGAAAAATAAAAAAGCAACAAATAGGCCGGCATAAAATGTAAAGGTAAGTAATCATTTTTTTAATTCCATGTCTCCATAATCTTAAATGTATAGAATACTTAAGCATTATAAATTAAATATATCCTTTCAAGCATTTAAGGTGGTAGATTCATTAGTTCGTGTGTTATTGTATAAGTCTTTAATAAGTTTTAGGGGTTTGTTTTTCAAAAAAAAGTACAAATATATTCTGTATAAACTTTAATATAATACCCAAATAAACACAATCTTGGAATTATTCGTCTATAAATCAAATAGAATAATGAAATATTCGAATCAACTACGAATTTTATTAATAAACTTCACAGCCGAAATATTACATTACAATATTAGATGATCTGAGTTAAATGAATAACAAGGAAAATCTAAATAGTTTTGTTTTAAATCTGTTTATATAAATTAATATTAACTATTATGATTTATAATTTGTCTTAGCTTAAATATTAATTGCTTGTTTTATCACAAGCAAAATATTCTATAATACATATCTGTAAACTTGAAATATTTCATTCATTAAAAGGAGTTTAAAAACAGCATATACACATAATGCATATCTCACTCAATACTTTGTAAATATTTACACATATATCTGATAATTATAAACTTTATATGTCTTATAACAAAATTGAAAACATTTTTATATAAGATTAAACTAATTTGCACTTAATTATAATTAATTACATACAATCAATACGAATATTTAATACAACCATATAAAGTAACTTAAATATAAATCGTTATATATTTATTTAGTACGTATCACGAGTAGAAGCGTATATGAAATATATGATCCGGTACAATGATTACTTTGAGACTTTGAAAATTGAACTTAATGGTAATAGCTATAGAGCATAATTTTGCGTCGTAGTCATTCTGTCCTTAGCCGTAGAGGATCTAGGAATGGTAAATCACTGGCATTACATTCGACTTGATGAAATACTTTTAATTGTACTTCCTTCTTATTAAGTTGCGTCATTTGTTTCTGTGAGTTCATCTGTTTCTTGTTAAACACTGTAACTGGCACTAGATGGCGCCTGCCGATGTCGTTAGACGGCGCTTGGTTTTCAGCCGCTTCTAACGCCGTTTCGACGTCTATAAGTGCGTGATTGCGACATTGTAGCAGAGCTGCCAGCTGTAATAAATATATTTAATGTTTGTACAGTTTTCCATTGAAAGAAAAATTATTACTTTGCATTCTCATAAGGGAAAAAATTGCTAAATATTAAAGAATATTTAGGTTTTTAAGCTGTATGTACAGCAACTCGTTTAAATGTTCTCACTTATCTGATGAACGGAATAAGAAAATTTGATACATTTATTTCGTTTTATTCCCATTCCTGATAAGAGTTTCATAAGACACATTAAAATTATGAATATCCTAACAACTCTTATTTTGATAAAAATATTTTTAATTGAGAGTCAACTTGAATCTAATTTTCTCATCGGATGGTAGCATCAAGTTAGTGTTGTATATCGATATTAAATCGATAGTGAAGGCAAAGCCGATAGTTGCTATCGATATTCTGAATATTCAAATTTATTGATGGTTCTGCACTACAGCGAGTGTTCTACCTGCATGATCTGTTGTAGCGGCGCCCGTGCGGCCGGCGGCGGCGCGGGGAGGGCCGCTGCCAACGCGTCCGCCGCGGCCGGCAGCCGGGCGCGGAGTAACGCGAGCGCGGCCAACGACCGGGCGACGTCCCCCCCCTCCGCCACACCCTCCGAACACGAGGAGCGAGCGTCCTCTGAACACGCCGCGAACGTATACGGCTCCATCGACGGGTCCACCGTACTTTATATAGGATCATATGTTATATGAGAGATGCGAAAGAATTAGAATTTGGAATACCACCACCGTACTTCATATAATAGAATAATACTTTATACAAGCGATGAGAAAGAATTTGAATTTGGAACACCATAGTACTTAATATATAGGACCATATGTTATATGAGAGATGCGAAAGAATTTGAATTTGGAATACCACAGAAGTCTGCATTGATTAGTGTATTGTACTTTGAGAATAAATTGTTTTCTATCACCCCCATTTGTTCACCTATTGGGTAAACACTATAACTAATCCTAGCCCAAGCTATTGCATAAAGTCCTATTTTTTATATGTCTCTTACTGCCTTTTATGACTGCAACGTCCACTAGAGGGCGTTATCGCCCACTTTGGGAAAGACTAACATAGATGATGTTTTAGCTTTGTTATACAATTGAATTTAAATAATACTTCTATGACGAAAATTTACAGGTATTTCTTATTTAAGGTCCTACTATGAGTAAAAAAATATGATATACATTATAAACTCACACGAAATCGTCCAATAATGGTTGTGGAGGGCGCGGGTACTTCTGAGGGTTTCTTAAATGTAAGGCGAGTGATCGAACGTGCTCCGAAGAAACTGACGATGGACGCATTAGTATTGACAACGCTGTACCTGTGTCTGAGTCTAATACTGAAAAACAAAAATATTAGCTCCATGTAAAGAAGAATAGGAAAAAACTACGAATATTGACTCGCTGATGTATGAAATAGGGTATTTTAACTTTTGAATTATAGCTATATATCATACATTTGTATATTATATACTTAAACTGGTGGTGGCCTAGTGGTTAAAAGGCCCGCCTCTCATGCATGAGGGCGCGGGTTCGATTCTGACCCGGGCAAGTACCAATGTGATTTTTCCGAGTCATATGCACTTTCTAAGAGTATTTAGACATCACTGATTAATGCATTCCCAAAGAGGGTCAATGTCAGGCAGGCGCCCGGTCGTAAAAACAATTAGACAAAACTATTCACAACATGTAAGGCAGACCTTGGCTAAAGCTGGGATATTGCCAGGTAGAAGAAGATACTTAAACTGTGTTACAGTTAGTTTTTATAGTCACACTACATACGAATGTTTTCTTATGTATATATTGATAATATAATGTGCAATGTTTTAATGAAAGATGATTAATTCTAAATATGTAGTGTGATTGAAGTGCAAACTCAGGGAAAATTCTGTTAGGGAAAATTCTATCTAATTGACTTTACGTCATGTTTTACTTAAATTAACATACAATTGTAAAATCCTTCCATCATTCTTTTGCATATTAAACTGCCAAAATATATTTCGTTAATAAATTAACTTACGAATGTTTCTTATAGATATCAGCATAGCCAAAATAACATAATGCACGTTTGGTAACATGGGGCCGTCGGAAAATATGAAGCCCCAAAGATCAGGGACATCCCCGCGGGGGAATTCCCGACCGAATAACAGGCGGAGCCAGCGACTGTAATAAAAAAACATATAATTAGATTCATATAGAAAAAAACTAAACGTGTTTGGCCATGTTTGTTAAAAAAAATTAGCAAGTCATCGGTGTAACATAAGTTAAATATAAAACATGATATCCCTACTAATATTATAAATGCGAAAGTATTTCTGTCTGTCTGTCTATTACGCTTTCACGCCTAAACCACTGAACAGATTTTAATGAAATTTGGTACAGATATAGAGTTGATGTTGAGAAAGAACAGGATAGTTTTTATCTCAGACTTTTGAAAGGTTCTCTTGGAAACGCGATATAACCGAATTCCACGCGGGCGAAGCTGCGGGCGGAAAGCTAGTAAGCTATATAATTCTTGTTCATTTAATACTCTAGTATAGCGGTGAAATATTGATTGCTTTTGTTAATTATTAATTACTGAAATTAATTATCAGGGACTAAAGTTTAACGCAAATAAAATAACGCAATATTAGTATAACATAATTTCTTTAAAGCCACATTTCATTTCTATATCACGACTTGCTTAATGATTTTCTATATTTTTTTTTGTGTAGTAAGAAAGTCGATAAAACCTCTATATTGCACAATTACAATATATACACAGAGTTTTTTATATAAAGTTCACTGTATTAAGTTTACTTAGAGAGAGGTAGTATGGCATTGAATTTAGTCTATGCCTATAAGATATAAATTAAGTGTTTAGCGATAATTAAGTGGAAATAAGATAGTGTTTATACCTAGAAATAGTGCATACATACATTCCAAATAACTCCATAGATATATTACATTCAGCTAAATGTTCCGCGAGTTCAGGATCTAGTTTCACTAGAAAATCCTCTCTTACTCTATCGAGATACCGAACTACTTCGTTTTGATTCTGAAACAATAAGCTTATATTAGAATAATAAATAAATAAAGACGAGTCAGTGGTGGCCTAGTGGTTAAAAGGCCCGTCTTACATGCATGAGGGCGCGGGTTCGATCCTTGCAAGTACCAATGTGATTTTTCCGAGTCATATGTACTTTCTAAGAATATTTAGACATCACTGATTAATGCATTCCCAAAGAGGATTGATGTCAGGCAGGCGGCCGGTCGTAAAAACAATTAGCCAAAACTATTCACAACATGTAAGACAGACCCTGGCTATAGCTGGGATATTGCCAGGAAGAAGAAGAAGAGAATAATAAATAAAAACAATTAATAAAGTCTTTTTAGAATACATACATGAAGTGTTTTAGATGTCGGTAGTCTGCCAGAAGATAATGGTATCACATTTCCCGTTGTGTAAAATTTCTCTAAGCCTTTCATTATCGCACTAAATAACATACTGAAAAAAAATATAATATGAGTACATATTTTTATATATTGCTGTATATATATTGAAAATTCAACTTACTAGCTGTCGTGTTCCAAATATTCCTCCTTAAGGTAATACCGGAGAGTATCACTATAAAAAAATATTACCGGTGTTAATCATTATACATAGAACACAAATCGTTTTTTGAAAAAAAAAAAAAAACAGCCAACTACAAATTCTTCTATCTTAAAATAGAACAAAAAAGTACCAGCCTACAAACTACAAATTATTCTATCTTAAAAAAAATCCAGCCAACTACAAATAATATCAGGCAGAATGTTATAAACCGTAGCCTTAAAAAGCACCTCACGTGTTGCGGCGCGTTCATTCTGTCGCAGTGTAGTTCCAGCAGCGCTGGAGCCAGGATCTCGTGCATACCTTGACGGTAGCCGGGGCGGACGTGCGCTCGGGCCCAGAAGAATAACACCCGCACCTTGGACATACATTATATTATACATATATGTAAAGAAAAGAAACATTTCCAAACTAGGAAGTATGTACATATCCCTAATAATATTATAAATGCGAAAGTAACTCTGCCTGTTTGTTACGCTTTCACGCCTAAACCACTGAACTGATTTTAATGAAATTTAGTACAGAGATAGAGTTGACCTTGAGAAAGAACATAGGATAGTTTTTATCACAGACTTTTGAAAGGTTCTCTTGGAAACGCGATATAACCGAACTCCACGCGGGCAGAAGGCTAGTATGAAATATTTATAGACACAAATATTGCAATGGAAATGATTTCTAAGCAAAATATACTAAGATAATTAAGCAAGAAGTTACCATCATATCTTGGACATCTTTGTCTCTGAAATAGGCTTCGTCTGGAAAAGTCCTTACTACATCTTGTAGTATGAGCGCTTTCAATTCGTTATCACAGAAGTGTTGTTTCCATGCACTCTGAAAAAACGGATAAATTATCATATAGTTGTTAAAGATATTAATTGTACTAAAAATTCATATTAATTCATTAAATAAAAGGCTTTATTTAATAAGTAAGCAATGATATGTTAATTAAGTTTCGTAAAGAAACATTACCTCATCATTCTGAGAGAGTGGATCATCTCCAATTACTGACCTAGGATCCAGAGATAACTTCTTCCTTAAATCTTCATAGAAGTTTCTATGGCCTTGTATACTGAAAAAATAATGCAATACTTATATCAATTATACCAGAAATAATGGACCATATATGTTATCACATACAAATATAATATTATAATTAAACATATATTAAATAAAATATACTACACCAACCTTATTTTAAAACAGCTTTCCCTGCCGGCATTATAGAGGTATAAAAGGATATAAAATAAACATATTAAAAAGTGTATCATATAATTATAGAAGCCAAATACTTAGATATATAATTTATGATACAAAAAAATAGCATATATTGGTTAAAATAAAATTACACAAATTAAATAAAATATAGTAGTACATAGTATGTATATGGTAGTATTTATTTTAGTTTATATTGTAAGTCTTCACAAATAACACTTGGTATGGTGCGAATACTGGATTAATGTATAGGAATTTATACATATATAAAAAAAATTGACCTATGTTTGCTAGCTAAAATATAAATAAATTTATTTTGGACTTCATCTGAAAGATTAAATTGAAGGTAAAATTCAAGCCTAAATACAAAATGAAGAAATATTGGTTTAACTATTGAAAGAAAGAGATAATAAAATGCTTATTATATATTAATAGTAATGACAATTAAGTGTCAAATTAATTTATTCTGGAAGGTTTTTTTTTTAATAAAATGCTAGTAATTTATTCTATAGCCATTGTACTTAATATGATTATGTAACTAATAAAAATTTAACTTAGTCATTCTATTTTCATAGATAAATTAAATAATTATGTTAAAACAAATATAATTAATATAATTTATTTGATTATGTAAACAAACAAGACTTATTTATGATTGCAGTATTCATTAATGGTGTAACTATTACAGTAACAAATTTTTCTTATTTAATTGTGTTGTTTAATTAAGATAATAATTATTATTGGCGGAATTTTAAATAATAATTGCTTAGATTAAATACAAATCATTCGAGAATTTTGTTATTCAAAAAAAAAAATAATCGTAGAAACGAATAAGCATTTAATGTGGCATCTGTTAGCCGACTTCAGAAATTCAAACTACCTATTCGTGGAGTTTTTGACAAAATATTGGCTCATAATGATCAGTCTTTCTCTTTTCACATGACAAGGGAATATTAACCAAGAATGCATTATGGTGCAGAGTGCGCACCAACCAATTATTATTATTTGAGTAATCAATGATTGGGAGTAGTTAAAATTATCATGTGTCACTCGCATAACCTGTGCAAGTGTAGTAACAATAATGAGTGTCGTTTCATATAAATAGAGGCAAGAGTTCAGATTACAGAGACTTTCACTCGAGCTTTTGCAGAGATCGGACCTCTTCAAAGTAAAGGATTCTTTTAACCGATTGTGATGTTATTTACAATAGTCTTAGAGGTTGACCACAGTCTAGAAGAAGGCATTAGTGACGTCAGTTCTCCGGACGTCACTCTATTGAAAACGACATAGTGTTTCATACTCCGGCAGCTATTATTTTGCCAAATTAGCACGCTTCATACCTCGTATAGTGGTTCTAGACATATCTTAATGAACTTTTTACCGGATCATAATCAACAATAATAGTAAACTAAAATCAGATGAAACATTGTAGAACGTAATTTCCCCAAACACACATATAGATAAGATTTTTGTTATTCATATCAAGTGATTACTTAATATTTTTGAAGATGGGATAGTCTGATAACGTGATTGTGTATACAAGTGACCGATAAGGATATGGAAATTAGAAAAAAAATTAAAGTCAGGAGATTACAAGATAACATTTTCTCTTTTAATTTGTATGATTTTAAAAATAAGTTTCAAAATAAAAAAACAGGTATCGGAATAAATAGAGCTTTAGAAGATGGTGTATTTATAAGGAAATATAATTTTCACTAATTACCTAGGCTTGTGTTAGAATCCGCGGCAGTCTGTTAAGACCTAAGGCGATTATTGTAGCTGTTGGGATTTAGCGGATAGTGCTATCAAAAGGAGTCTTTCAAAAAGTAAACACTTTTCACTGTACCAAAGAGTGAGTGAGTTTCGTTTTAACATGTATATTCAAAATCTAGCTGGCGGGAAAAACCGAATTCGAAAGTATTCTTTGCATCGACATAAGATGTAATTTTATATTCATTACGAATAATTGAGGCGAATTAGTAAAAAAACTTTGTATTCCACTCAACACAAGACACACTCCATTAACAACGAAGATACATAAACTTCATTACCATTTAAATCTTTAGTGTTTCATTGGAGTATTCCTTCGTGGTTTTTGGACACTTTTTTAACTACTTTTTTGCCCTACTGTGACTGAGGATAATGTAACTTTTAGTTAGTAACCAAACAATCACACATTACATATAGGTACAGCGACAAGACTTTCTATATTAGCACGCCAGTCCACATTAATTTATTCTGACGAAAATCACTTCTGGAGTATAGATAACTCGTTAGCAAGACCATGAATAGACCCTCATTCGACGGAACAACAAAGTAAGAAAAAAAAATTGCTGGTGATTTCTGGGCAGTAATAATTGCTAGTCTTTTTGTAACAGATTTTTTTAAACTGCTTGGGAATATAATCAAAAATTAATAATATTAAATGTGATCTGACTGTTCTGGTGACAAGGAAGGTAACCAACGGAATATGCGTTAAAATTAAATGAGCTTTTTGTATTTAATACCAAATGACAACAGTTTGCACTGAAATATAGATCATTACCATCAAAGTAGGTATTTATTTCCTTTATCTATCAATTAGTGATCCCATAATGAACAATTTTGTCAAAATAAATAGCAAAGAAAGAAGCGCAAGGAATGTTGACAGTAATATATTGATTTCAATTAACATATCTTGTTCTTTAGTGTCCCAGATAGTTTTTTATGCAAAAATTATGAAAGCAGGAAAATTGACAGTAATATTATGTTATCGAAGATGAAATAAGCCTACCCATCTCTTAAAAGGAGCTTGGGGAAAAAACTTAATTGTGATAAAATATAGATTTAAGTATGGACCGTCTTAAAGTTACAATTTCAAAAGATATTAAGTAAACATAAAACATGAGAAACAACAAATAACTAATTTAAATAATACGAATAAAAAGAGAAAGTTAAAATAACTTGTTATTGATATACAAGATATATTTAAAATTTTTATTTATACAGGGTGACTGGTGAATTACTATCAATATTTAAGGAGCATACTCGGTACATGATTCTCATTCGAATTATGTAAAAAAAATAGGTACTTAATTTTTGACCAAATTTCCGTGTAAATAAATAAAGTGTAGACACGTTCCAAGTGTTCCAAGTGTGGACGTGTGCGGCGGCGTGCTAATACAACGTCGCGCGCGCGTGTGTGTGTGTGTGTATACCTAATCTGTAGGGTGTTCACACGATGCGTAATTAATTACATAAATTTTGGTTAACTTTACTTAGAAGTTTATTAATATTTACGTCATATTAATATTTATTTTGTCATATATGATCGTCAAATATCACGTCCTCAAGTATCGATAGTAATTCACCAGTCACCCTGTATAGGAGCAGTATTTTCAAATGGCAAATAATAGCAATTTCAGTTTAAATTGACAAGTATGAAGATTAGATTTAATGAGGAAAGTGGAAATTGAAGTTTCAAACCCCCCAAAAAAGGTAAGTTGCCAATAAAAAAAAAATATAATAAATAACTAAAGGCAAGCTTCTATAATAAAATACATAATACACCTTACACATGACAACTTTGAGAAATTAGTTGCAACATAAAATAACAAAGATTTTTATAATTAATCATTTGGATAAAGTGTGTTTAACATTAAAAGTCTCTCTAACTTAAGCTGAAAATTAATAATTATTTTTTAATAAAAATAGGAATAAAACAAAACAAAGTGGAGCTAGAGAATTGGTAAAAATAGTTGGGTTGTATCCAAGGGGATTTAGAAGAAAACAGAAAGAGTAGTCTTACAGGGACAGATAATGTTAAAAGACAGTAATATTCTTATCGCTGTTTTGTACACAATTATTCTTGCTTTGAGGGTATGTTTTAAATTTCTTGTTTAAAGCAAAATTTATTGTAAGAATATATTAAACTACCTGGTGATAGATAGATAGATATATATGATTGTCGAAGTTTTAATTTAAAATATGTTTATAGTCATAATTTTCTCAAGTAAGTGAAATATAATTTCTTTTTGGGAAATAAAGTATCTTTAACCATAATATATTAAGACTTGAAATAAGGCTTGTTGTATAACGAATGAAAGTTTACAGATTAGGAATCTAACACATATATTAATAGTATATAATAGTAACACATCTTTCAATATATATCTTATACATATATAAAATATTATGATGAAGACTATTGTACATAATAATGTTTAAATGTATTTTTGTACTATGGTTACCTTAACAATATGTCTCCGGAAGGCGGGGGCACAGCATTCAGTAGAACAGCCCATGCTAAACTACGAGGTTTAGCCAATCTCTGTTCGATGGCGGCCTTTTTCAAATATTCCATACTCCATGTTGTATATTGTAAGCTGTAATTTGAATATTGATATCTAAGTATTTTGCTAGTATTAAAATGAAAGTAATATTTTTGAATTACTATGCGTTATTTTATTATTTTAAAAATTGCATATTCTAGATGTTTCAGTAACTTTGTGGTAATGATGATCATGGGTAGAGATGTGAATGAAAGAAACAGTAAAATTATTGGTGGTAATCCATAAATATTAGTTTCATTTATATTTTCAATACATTTCTAAATAAATTTAAGAGAAATATTACATATATTTAAAAAAAAGATAGGTATATGTAATAAACATATATTTTTTTAGTCATCAAATTCACATTAAAAAAAATAATCAAAAAGCATACCCTTAATCTAACCATGTTTTTCATTTTTGTTTTTTTTTTTTAATACTTAGGATCTAGTAATTTGCAAATATCCAATAATCCTTTTTATGTATAAATATATTTGTAAAACTTATAATTCAACTTTTATAAGACTATAAAAAATATTATGAATAAATTTATACCAAGGACTGATCATTAAGGATTTATTGACATATAAACCTTTTTGTTAATTCAATAAATCAAAAATTAAAAATAAAAGTTATTTTGATATTTACATTAAATTAAAACTATTTATGTGATCACTAAATACACTTAGATAAAAGATTATCATTAAAATTGACAATAATCAAATGTAGGACGAGCGAATTAAAATATTCTTTGTACTTACTCATAGTCGTTGGCTTCGATAAAGGTCTTCGAGGGAGAACTTTCTAACCCGTTTAAATTTTGTTCCTATAAGGTAAATAACATTATTTATATTTTATTTTACTTAAGAGGCTAAAATATTTATGCTTACAAATATTTACCATGATTATAATCACAGAAATACCATGTTAGTTAACTAATGATATTTCATTTAAGCAACGATGTTTATGTTATCAAAATGTTTTGATAATTTAAAACGATTCAATGTAGCATTTATTTAATTCTTACAGCAGCTGTCAATGACAGTTGACATTTGAGAGATGTTGATAGTTTCATTCTCTGTGTATGAAGTTCTGGATGTAATGATAATATGGATAAGCAAATATTTATTAAATTGTAGTTCATGTCCAAAAAGCGTATAATTTCAAAATAAAAGAAATCTATTACTACTCTACTAATTTCTCTTATTTTAAAAGTTACACGTGAAGAGTTAGAATATTTTTTTAACATATATATATTTTAAGTAATATGAGAAGACACATTCCTATTATATTGGATTGAGGACAGAATATATATGAAAAAGTATTAAAGCAATAACAAATAAATAAATTTATTATAATTTGTTAAAATCGGTCACAGAGATATAATTTTTTTATACTAAGAGGTTTTTTTTCATTGGGTCTATAATATGGTAGATGGTTCTTTGAAATTTAAAAATCAGCTTTGTCAATACTCTGTGCTAAAAGCAACTGTGGATATAGGTCTTTCTCTTTTTTTAACGCAAGCGTTTGTAATTTTTAAGTTTTGGATAGAGAGAACAGTTAATGTGTTGTATATTAATCAATGTCGTCGGAATAAATCAAAAGTGTTAAAGTTATCATGTTTTTTCTCTCTTCAGCTGAAATGGCGCGCTCCGTTACCGTTACCTTGTTGTATGGAGCGAGATCGCAAGCGCTGGCTTCTCGACTACGATGACCACAAGCAACAGGAAAAATGATTACCAATTTGCCGCTTCTTATTTGCAATGGTAATCCGACAGCTCTGGCGAAGCTGAATGCCGCCGAATTGGAAAAGTTTATTACGTTCATGGTGACATGTTCCTGGGGTCATGATACGGCTAAGGATATCCGGCAGCCACCATGGTGGCCCAAGGATGTAAACTTTTCACATCCCTTTGTTAAACCACCGGTTGTTCCCGACGATTGGGAGGCGAGACTGAAGAGATTGATCAAGAGATGTTATGAATATCACAAGAGTGCGTTTTTATTAGTGTTCTCAGCACAGCTTGCTCGATATCCGCCGCGAAGACTCCGGTATGTTGACAATCGCGATCACACGACATCCCTCTACTACAGACCGAGTGGTAGACTACTGGTGACGTTCCGAAATGAAAATCTGTGTTATGATAGAGACACTGTAGAGGAGACGAGCTGTCACCTGAAATCCACTGATATTTATCTTTGTGATAATTGTGATAGTCATTTTGATAACTTGGAAGTTCTCAAAGCTCATGAGAGACTGTGTAACAATGAAGTAGTGGCAACAAGTTCGTGTAGCAGTGGCTTTTCAGATTTCCTGTCAGCTCTGAAGTTGAAATCAATATCAGATGTTTCGGATAACAAACATCCACAATGTGTTGAAGTTGACTCGCGGCCCCGGAATGCTAGAGGTGCATCTCACCTGGATAGAGGTCCTCCCTATCCATTCTCATCCCTTGCATATATGAAAAATGCAAAAATAAACATACAAAGGGATACCACCTATTCTAGAGAAAGAATAGAGAGATATTGTTGTTCTACGACAACTGTTAGTAAAAATGTAGGTAGCAAAACTAAAAATCATCAATTTCCAGTAAGATATAGACGACCAATAGATTACTGGCACAGGAAGCATGTGTTCCCAAATCAAAGATACAAAAAAATACTTGATCTCAAAAGCCAGTTGCTGCTTTTAAAATGTAGGCCCGTTACTGTGAACGTCGAGAGAATGACAATGGAAAAAGTAGATGAATATATCGAAAACCTGCAGAAGGAGTCCGAGAAACATAGCATAGGAGACAAAGACATTGTGTTTGTTGATGGATTAGACTCTGGACAAATGGATGTTGACGGTAAAGTTGAAACTAAAAATAGTGATCCTCTCAAGAAGGTAGACTGTGACTGTGAAGTGATTGATCTGTGTTCGGACGATGAAACTTCCAGTACTAACGAGAACTGTGACCCTCGAGCAGGAGTGACTTGTGTGATGAGAGGTGGGGCGGTGCTCCGGCGTACGGCTGCGACGCCTCAGGCCCTGCCCGCGGAGCCCTGCGGCGCGCGCCAGCGCCCTCTACCGTCTCTCATCCTACAACCACATCCAGTTATATTGATAACTCATACTCTAAACAATTTACAGACTATAGCCTTAGATTAAATATATGTATTATTTTAAATGTAGGTACATGCTGACATTATTTATTACCTTCCTGATTAAAATTATAATGTTTATATCTATGTTTTATTTTTTTTATATCAACTTAGTAAGATTTATACATTGACACAAGATGGCGTCTGTAATTTTCACAAAATGGCGAAGTAATGTGCTGAATTTTGCAAATTGTTCCAGAAAACTTGTTTTATAATTTTCAGTCTTTTTTGTGAGGAATATTGCCCGCCATTTGATATAATTGAGACAGAAAAATTATGTAAATGCAAAACTTTATTATTTGTATGTCTGGCAAAATATATTTATTTTTATTTGTAATAAATGTCTTTATTGGTAAAACATCTAATTTCAGGAGCGCCAACAACGTAAAAATAGAGGGCGAATTATTTCAAATACCCAACGAAATATATCTTTTAGCTAGACTTGTAAAACTTAATATTTCATCTAATTATTATTATTGTCGCTATCATTGAATTTGGGTACAAAAAGTCATAAGTTTTAAATTAGTTTATAAGATACTTTATCGATGACTTATTTTTTTGAAATTTGGTGCATCATACGGCATGACTAATGGTAAAATATGAATCAGTATAGTTTGGTAGAGTTTTAATCGGTTTTTACTAAATTTCAACTGTCTTCAAAAAAGGCAGGCATTATTTCAAAGGAACCCTTATTTTCTCATTTTATTGTATGTTTGAAAATGTGAGTCCAGATATTTTGAAATTAAATGTTGCGAGAAAATTAATTGCTTTTAATAACATCCACAGATCGATAAGATCGTAATTGGTTGTTTTCAAGGAAATCAGCAGAAAAAAGTGGTCTTTATTTAAAATGAACATCACAATGAAAATACAAGATGAAACTCAGTTTTCAAATAAGGCAATTGTATGGATTTTGTTTCACTCACTTAATTTTATAAGTACACTAGCTTTCCGCCCGCAGCTTCGCCCGCGTGGAGTTCGGTTATATCGCGTTTCCAAGAGAACGTTTCAAAAGTCTGGGATAAAAACTATCCTATGTTCTTTCTCAAGGTCAACTCTATCTCAGTACCAAATTTCATTAAAATCAGTTCAGTGGTTTAGGCGTGAAAGAGTAACAGACAGACAGACAGACAGACAGACAGACAGAGTTACTTTCGCATTTATAATATTAGTAGGGATATATTCTTTTTTGAGTTTTCAGTGCGTCTGATTAAAATAGATTCTGATAACATTTTTTTTTAACTGAAACAAATGAAAGGATTTTTTTTTAGTTTTTATCGATATGGACACCGTTTGTAGTTTCTTTGTTTGGACTAAAATACTGACCAAATTACATAAGTAGGGTGGCAACCGGAGGTTCCAGGAAAACTACGGAACTTATGTGTATATTATAATAAGAGCTACATATTAGAACTTGTAACCTATACCTAAGACTATGTGATTGCCCCGATGTTAGGATAGCAGTGACATTCCATTGCTTGTGGGGTATCAGGAATCTTAGGGTTCACACGGCTTGGTGTTCGTTCCGCGGAGTCATCGGCGTCACTCGCTATCTGATATTTCACCCATACAAAGATGTCGCCCCAGCGATGTTCATTAATTTTTTCATATGTAGCGCGTAGGTAACATCCATTCTAATTAAGTTACAGTGAAGATCCAAATTTCTTATAAACCTAAAAGGGGTAACAGTTAAAATTAATCTATTTTACGTCAACATTTTTTTCTCATCTTGCCCATGTTACATTAACATCTACCTACTAAACTAGAATTTTTGTAAATTTTCATACAAATGAAAAAAATACTACACTTAACAACGTACCTCAATTAATAAGAATTGAAAAAGAAATTTTACATATAATCTGTGGGAAATTTAAACTATTTCATAATATGCACATGGTAAATGTTACTACGTATTCGCAATGGAGAATAAAGATATCAATAATAAACAATATAGATGTATGGAATAGAATCAGATATCATAATCATATGCTATGATAGTTATATATCAATGTCAATAGTATCGGATTGTGAAATAAATTAAGGTCAAAATGATTATCTCTTGTTTACATTAATTCGTCCTTGTATTCAGTTTTTGGCACCAGCGGAGTGATCGTATGACTAGTTAGTAAGGGTCATTAGGAAATTATAAAAAAAGGAGTTTTGGTATAAACGGTTATTTTAGGTGGTGGGATATGTGAGGCTTTGCATCCCGTGGACTCAGAGTAACTATGTAATTGGCCTGGATAGCGTTCGATTGCAGTAGCATTGAATGAAAATGTGTGTAGCTTTCTTAACTTTCACGTATACATTTCTCCATGTGCTGACATTATACAGTTCCAATTTCTTATAATTTTATCTGGTTACACTATAGTGTAGTGTTTTAGTTTAGTGTTCTTAAAAAAATCGAATTTGTTAGCATTTTAGCTTAGGTTTCGGTCCAATGATTGTGTAGTTATATTTTACTGTAAACATTTGGGCCTTTCAAACATTGTAAGATGAGAGAGAGAATTTGTGCATATATAAATTAATTTGCCGCTAGGAAAATCTTCTTTCCTATTTAAGGATATTTTGAGTACATGCTGAAACATTAGATTAAGTAGCCGTAAAGTTTATTTAAGGATTTATAGATCCTTCGCAGAAATGATTGACTCTATAATTTCCCTACTTTTTGAATTTCCCTAAAAACACTATCTGCTCTTTAGTTTTTAGTGAATGGCCTTCGCGGCGTGTAAATGTGACTTGAATTTTGTTTGCATACAAATTGTTTTAAAAATATCTTGTAGGTATATAACTAGGCAAAATTTTCCTGCATTCCATATGAGATAATTGTGACAGCAGTTATTAAAATTCCAGAGTTTTAACGTACTTATGAAGCTACAATGTCATTCAAGCCTTTTAAAAGACATTGTAACTAAATCCATACATAGTTGTTGTTTATATTTTTAGCTGTAGTGGAGACAGTCTTAAGATATGTTATCGCTCTGTCGTTTTTGTCATTAACATTTGAAGTAGGTGCTCAAAATTTGTATTTTTTTTGTATTAGGTATACCTACATTAGTTCTGTACGATACTACCTTAGCATGGTTTATTTTTAAATTTTATTAGTCTTAACCATTTAAATTCAAATTTATCTAGATGAAACCAACATTCTAGCGTAAAATACGTTTTTTGGTATAAATAAGGTAACTGTGTGTTGGATCATCCATGACCATATTTATATGGCGAATAAGACACTTCCTTTAAGGGACTGAATTTCCAATTGAGAGCTAACTTACAACCTGTTACTGATGTCTCACTTGCTATGTTTAATACGCAATTAAATAGCAGAGAATTTTAATACGTATTGGTTTGAAAAAGTAATTACATCACAACATTTAACAATGGTATTATATGAATTAGGGGAAAGTTATCATTACTCACAAATAAAGACAAAGAATCTTAGGTCAAGAAGAAATTTATATTTCGTGATTGATATTTAATGAATAACAAATGCCGTCATGCTTCTGAAAAACGATATTATTTTTTTAGGACAAAATACTAGATAGATGTTTCAAAAGGTTATTATTAAAGATAACTTATATCCGGATTTATGGAATAATTTACACCGAGATTTATGGAATTGTGAAGTATAATAACATCTCTAAGGCAGTAAATCCTAAAAGCATTTGTGTTTCTGCTCTTCAATTTACTCAAACAAAAAAACTATATCTTGGATTCTTGGCGAAGTTTATTTTTTTTTAGCTGAAGGCCTTATTTCATTAGTCAAGGTTGAAATAAAATCAATGAACAGATATATGTTTAGCAAATGTTAAATATAATAACAATTATGTAATTCTTGACAATTGATTTATTTGTCACAATTTCGAGTGAATGGAAATAAATATATATTTATAACTTTAACCGGTCAGTAGAACGCGTGGCTAGTGGTGTGATATCATAACCACAAAGACACCTAAATATAACCGAGTTTGTAAGCTTCGGTGTCAGTTGTATTTGGCCTAATATTAGTTTAAATAACCAGGCAGACCCTGGCTAAAGCTGGGAAATTGCCAGGAAGAAGATGAAGATTAGTTTAAACAACCAGGGAGGATAATTTTGACGTTTAATTTCTGCGAATGTTATTCTATATCGACAGTTTAAAACAAATTGAAGACTAGTGATGTTACTATTATTTTTTTGTTTAAGCTTATTTTCCAGTGTTACCATCATCCATAAAATTTTCCTTTTATCTCGTTGGTGTTTTTGAGTGAATTTAAATATATCATAATAATCTACAAATCTAAGTCAATGTTTTTTAAACAGACCTTGATTACACATTTTAATCTTTCACGAATATTTCCAGAAGAAAAAAACTAGCAAATCAAGTACGTATAAACAAAAAAAAATATTTATTCATCAATATTATATAACAAGAAAAAAATACATATATGGAAAACTTTTATTCTATCATATATCTTCTGTAGCCGCTCTATGTGAGTGAGAGTTAAGAGGCCGTCTGCTTTCTTCGTCCGAGCCATAGATAACTTCTTCATCGGAATCGTTGATCATAGAAAACGCTGGATTGTCTTTGGTTATGGCCGTCTCTGAAAAATATTTCATAGAATCATTATTATATTTATATGTATGATATTGCCAACGATTTATATCTTAGTAGTTTTTCCTCGCGACTACGTCCGCGTTAATTTCGGAATTAGCTATATATGTATAGCTGACAGGGCGAACTCTATTTCTCAGATATTGGAATTCATTGAGTATTTTCTTTTTCAATCGAACAGAATTAAATATCCTATACCCCTCTTTTGGTTCTAAATGATCCATCAATTTTCAGCCAAACCCGTATAGCCGTTCATAAGTTATAAATAGTGTAACACAACTTTCTTTTATATGTACATTTAGAATTTTAATACAAGTTTAGTTTACATTTTCGATAGATACATTCAGTACTTACTAATATAATAAATAATGTCATTCAAATTCAAATAACTTTATTCAATATAGAAGCATTACACTTTCTTATTGATGGTCATTTGAGACACTACCACCGGTTCGGAAAAGAAAATACCCTGACCTGAGAAGAACCGGCGAAAGAAATTAATCAATAGATACTTAGATCGATCATTCAACTCAACTTTACTTATACTCAGATCATTATATATTATTACTAAAATAATAAATAGACTAATATGTTTATACCGTGTACAGCGCCCGTTCCTGGCGAGAACAGATATGCCATGATGTACACGTTGAAGTTGAACAGTCCGTATAGCGCCATGAATGTCGCGGACGTGTCGTAGCGTGCGGAGGCCTGAGAGGCCCAGTGGTCCTGCAGCCCCGCCGGGCCCCAGCCACGCGCGCACACACACGAACACACGACACACACGATACACACTGATAGGGATAGGCAGCGGAGACGGACGTCTGGAATATATGTGTATATATGATAGACAAGGAAAAAATAGGCATATGATATGAGAAATAACATATACAGGGTGACTGGTGAATTACTATCAATATTTAAGGAGAATACTCGGTACATGATTCTCATTCAAATTATGTAAAAAAAATAGGCACATAATTTTTGACAAAATTTCCGTATAAATAAATAAAGTGTTGACACGTTCCAAGTGTTCCAAGTGTGGACGCGTGCGGCGGCGTGCTGATACAACACCACGCCGCCGATGCGTATGTGTGTGTGTGTGTATACCTAATCTGTAGGGTGTTCACACGATGCGTAATTAATTACATAACTTTTGGTTCACTTTACTTAGAAGTTTATTAATATTTATGTTATATTAATTTTTATTTTGTCATATATGATCGTCAAATATCACGTCCTCAAGTATCGATAGTAATTCACCAGTCACCCTGTATAAATAAAGATTAATAATCCGAATAAAGATTAGAAAGATCTCTAGAGAAAACTCACAACGAATTACTGTCTGATATATTTGTATATCGGCGCTATTAGCTGGAAGAGCCTGTCCAGAAAGCACGTAAATCGCCCTTTTTAAAATTCGGGTTTTTTAAAAATGGAGCGTGAAAACTTTGATAGAGAACTTTTTATTGACGTAATTGAGTAAAAGGGTAGCTATATGGGATATGGAATCGTCAGATTATTCTAATAGAACTATTAAGGGTAGGAACTGGGAAGAAAAAGTAGAAATTTTTCGTGAAGTTGGTGATTCCGAGGAGATACAAATCAAAACGCGCGCTTTCTGGACAGGCTCTTAATATCTTGTTAATAGAACCAAATGTTTTCTTATACTCTATAATTTGATTTATATTATTATCTATCATATAGAAAAAATAGACTCACCGAAAAATGGCATGTTACGTAAATCACTATAGGCTTTAACAATAAGGACGAGTAGATACAGGAAATATAACGTCACAGCCACGAAGAACATTATTTTCACCACCTGAAATAAATAAACTTATTATTTATGTGGAGAAAAATGTTTTTTTTTTCACCAGTCATAGACAAACACCAAATTTTTTATATTTGTGGTTTATTCTAAAATAAATAAAACGTGTAAATAACGTACAACGAAACTGTTGTCAAGAAGAGAATTAGTAAAATAGATCATATTTATTATAATTGTAATATTGAAATTGACATTGTAAATTAATAGCTTTAAATGTTTCTACAGGTTAATCTAGTAACCTTTTTATTGTAACCCTAATATATATTGTAAACTTTGCAGACTTAACAATAAAATCTTTTCTTAATGAGAAAACCATTAATCTTTTGATTGTGTTTTCCAAATCACGACAATATATTATACTAGCTGACCTGGCAAACATTGTTTTGCCCTATAAAAAATAGGGGTTGGTGATAAGAAGGTACAAAATTAGGGTTGTATACATATATGTATTTTTTAATGCGAAAAATTAAAGAAAAATGTTAAAGGTGGACAACCCTTATCACTAAGGGGTATGAAAAATAGATGTTGGCCGATACTCAGAACTACTCAATATGCTCACAAAATTTCATGAGAATCGGTCCAGCCGTTTCGGAGGTGTACGGGAACGAACATTGTGACACGAGAATTTTATATATAAGATATATTAAATCTTACCGGATAATTAGGGTTCATATAGTAATTGTATGTAGGGTCGTAGTAGCCGTAGTATTTTTGCCAAAACCCAAGCACCATGGCCGGCACCCAGATCATTCCCACTATTATAACTTTCAGCAGATAGAAAGATACAAATCCTCTCTCGTTCTAACATATAAAAAAAACAATTCTTATAATATTAACCAATCAGATATCATATAATTGAAAGAATTCTCTCAATATGGTATATCTGACCAATAATAAGTATAATATATAGCAATAAGTGTATATATCTGTATGTACATGTCTCAGTCATTAGTTTATAATATTAACCGATCAGATGTAATGAAACGGTAAGAATTTGTATTTTTTTTATATTTGACCAATCAGAAGTATATAATATTTTAGTTTAATGCTATATAGCAATAAGTGTATATATTTGTATGTACATGTTTCAGTCATTAGTTTATAATATTAACCGATCAGATGTAATGAAACGGTAAGAATTTGTATTTTTTTTATATTTGACCAATCAGAAGTATATAATATTTTAGTTTAATGCTATATAGCAATAAGTGTATATATTTGTATGTACACGTTTCAGTCATTAGTTTATAATATTAACCGATCAGATGTAATGAAACGGTAAGAATTTGTATTTTTTTTATATTTGACCAATCAGAAGTATATAATATTTTAGTTTAATGCTATATAGCAATAAGTGTATATATTTGTATGTACACGTTTCAGTCATTAGTTTATAATATTAACCGATCAGATGTAATGAAACGGTAAGAATTTGTATTTTTTTTATATTTGACCAATCAGAAGTATATAATATTTTAGTTTAATGCTATATAGCAATAAGTGTATATATTTGTATGTACATGTTTCAGTCATTAGTTTATAATATTAACCGATCAGATGTAATGAAACGGTAAGAATTTGTATTTTTTTTATATTTGACCAATCAGAAGTATATAATATTTTAGTTTAATGCTATATAGCAATAAGTGTATATATTTGTATGTACATGTTTCAGTCATTAGTTTATAATATTAACCGATCAGATGTAATGAAACGGTAAGAATTTGTATTTTTTTTATATTTGACCAATCAGAAGTATATAATATTTTAGTTTAATGCTATATAGCAATAAGTGTATATATTTGTATGTACATGTTTCAGTCATTAGTTTATAATATTAACCGATCAGATGTAATGAAACGGTAAGAATTTGTATTTTTTTTATATTTGACCAATCAGAAGTATATAATATTTTAGTTTAATGCTATATAGCAATAAGTAAGTGTATATATTTGTATGTACATGTTTCAGTCATTAGTTTATAATATTAACCGATCAGATGTAATGAAACGGTAAGAATTTGTATTTTTTTTATATTTGACCAATCAGAAGTATATAATATTTTAGTTTAATGCTATATAGCAATAAGTGTATATATTTGTATGTACATGTTTCAGTCATTAGTTTATAATATTAACCGATCAGATGTAATGAAACGGTAAGAATTTGTATTTTTTTTATATTTGACCAATCAGAAGTATATAATATTTTAGTTTAATGCTATATAGCAATAAGTGTATATATTTGTATGTACATGTTTCAGTCATTAGTTTATAATATTAACCGATCAGATGTAATGAAACGGTAAGAATTTGTATTTTTTTTATATTTGACCAATCAGAAGTATATTATATTTTAGTTTAATGCTATATAGCAATAAGTGTATATATTTGTATGTACATGTTTCAGTCATTAGTTTATAATATTAACCGATCAGATGTAATGAAACGGTAAGAATTTGTATTTTTTTTATATTTGACCAATCAGAAGTATATAATATTTTAGTTTAATGCTATATAGCAATAAGTGTATATATTTGTATGTACATGTTTCAGTCATTAGTTTATAATATTAACCGATCAGATGTAATGAAACGGTAAGAATTTGTATTTTTTTTTATATTTGACCAATCAGAAGTATATTATATTTTAGTTTAATGCTATATAGCAATAAGTGTATATATTTGTATGTACATGTTTCAGTCATTAGTTTATAATATTAACCGATCAGATGTAATGAAACGGTAAGAATTTGTATTTTTTTTATATTTGACCAATCAGAAGTATATAATATTTTAGTTTAATGCTATATAGCAATAAGTGTATATATTTGTATGTACATGTTTCAGTCATTAGTTTATAATATTAACCGATCAGATGTAATGAAACGGTAAGAATTTGTATTTTTTTTATATTTGACCAATCAGAAGTATATAATATTTTAGTTTAATGCTATATAGCAATAAGTGTATATATTTGTATGTACATGTTTCAGTCATTAGTTTATAATATTAACCGATCAGATGTAATGAAACGGTAAGAATTTTGTATTTTTTTTATATTTGACCAATCAGAAGTATATTATATTTTAGTTTAATGCTATATAGCAATAAGTGTATATATTTGTATGTACATGTTTCAGTCATTAGTTTATAATATTAACCGATCAGATGTAATGAAACGGTAAGAATTTGTATTTTTTTTATATTTGACCAATCAGAAGTATATAATATTTTAGTTTAATGCTATATAGCAATAAGTGTATATATTTGTATGTACATGTTTCAGTCATTAGTTTATAATATTAACCGATCAGATGTAATGAAACGGTAAGAATTTGTATTTTTTTTATATTTGACCAATCAGAAGTATATAATATTTTAGTTTAATGCTATATAGCAATAAGTGTATATATTTGTATGTACATGTTTCAGTCATTAGTTTATAATATTAACCGATCAGATGTAATGAAACGGTAAGAATTTGTATTTTTTTTTATATTTGACCAATCAGAAGTATATAATATTTTAGTTTAATGCTATATAGCAATAAGTGTATATATTTGTATGTACATGTTTCAGTCATTAGTTTATAATATTAACCGATCAGATGTAATGAAACGGTAAGAATTTGTATTTTTTTTATATTTGACCAATCAGAAGTATATAATATTTTAGTTTAATGCTATATAGCAATAAGTGTATATATTTGTATGTACATGTTTCAGTCATTAGTTTATAATATTAACCGATCAGATGTAATGAAACGGTAAGAATTTGTATTTTTTTTATATTTGACCAATCAGAAGTATATAATATTTTAGTTTAATGCTATATAGCAATAAGTGTATATATTTGTATGTACATGTTTCAGTCATTAGTTTATAATATTAACCGATCAGATGTAATGAAACGGTAAGAATTTGTATTTTTTTTATATTTGACCAATCAGAAGTATATAATATTTTAGTTTAATGCTATATAGCAATAAGTGTATATATTTGTATGTACATGTTTCAGTCATTAGTTTATAATATTAACCGATCAGATGTAATGAAACGGTAAGAATTTGTATTTTTTTTATATTTGACCAATCAGAAGTATATAATATTTTAGTTTAATGCTATATAGCAATAAGTGTATATATTTGTATGTACATGTTTCAGTCATTAGTTTATAATATTAACCGATCAGATGTAATGAAACGGTAAGAATTTGTATTTTTTTTATATTTGACCAATCAGAAGTATATAATATTTTAGTTTAATGCTATATAGCAATAAGTGTATATATTTGTATGTACATGTTTCAGTCATTAGTTTATAATATTAACCGATCAGATGTAATGAAACGGTAAGAATTTGTATTTTTTTTATATTTGACCAATCAGAAGTATATAATATTTTAGTTTAATGCTATATAGCAATAAGTGTATATATTTGTATGTACATGTTTCAGTCATTAGTTTATAATATTAACCGATCAGATGTAATGAAACGGTAAGAATTTGTATTTTTTTTATATTTGACCAATCAGAAGTATATAATATTTTAGTTTAATGCTATATAGCAATAAGTGTATATATTTGTATGTACATGTTTCAGTCATTAGTTTATAATATTAACCGATCAGATGTAATGAAACGGTAAGAATTTGTATTTTTTTTATATTTGACCAATCAGAAGTATATAATATTTTAGTTTAATGCTATATAGCAATAAGTGTATATATTTGTATGTACATGTTTCAGTCATTAGTTTATAATATTAACCGATCAGATGTAATGAAACGGTAAGAATTTGTATTTTTTTTATATTTGACCAATCAGAAGTATATAATATTTTAGTTTAATGCTATATAGCAATAAGTGTATATATTTGTATGTACATGTTTCAGTCATTAGTTTATAATATTAACCGATCAGATGTAATGAAACGGTAAGAATTTGTATTTCTTTTATATTTGACCAATCAGAAGTATATAATATTTTAGTTTAATGCTATATAGCAATAAGTGTATATATTTGTATGTACATGTTTCAGTCATTAGTTTATAATATTAACCGATCAGATGTAATGAAACGGTAAGAATTTGTATTTCTTTTATATTTGACCAATCAGAAGTATATAATATTTTAGTTTAATGCTATATAGCAATAAGTGTATATATTTGTATGTACATGTTTCAGTCATTAGTTTATAATATTAACCGATCAGATGTAATGAAACGGTAAGAATTTGTATTTTTTTTATATTTGACCAATCAGAAGTATATAATATTTTAGTTTAATGCTATATAGCAATAAGTGTATATATTTGTATGTACATGTTTCAGTCATTAGTTTATAATATTAACCGATCAGATGTAATGAAACGGTAAGAATTTGTATTTTTTTTATATTTGACCAATCAGAAGTATATAATATTTTAGTTTAATGCTATATAGCAATAAGTGTATATATTTGTATGTACATGTTTCAGTCATTAGTTTATAATATTAACCGATCAGATGTAATGAAACGGTAAGAATTTGTATTTTTTTTTATATTTGACCAATCAGAAGTATATAATATTTTAGTTTAATGCTATATAGCAATAAGTGTATATATTTGTATGTACATGTTTCAGTCATTAGTTTATAATATTAACCGATCAGATGTAATGAAACGGTAAGAATTTGTATTTTTTTTTATATTTGACCAATCAGAAGTATATAATATTTTAGTTTAATGCTATATAGCAATAAGTGTATATATTTGTATGTACATGTTTCAGTCATTAGTTTATAATATTAACCGATCAGA